ACGAGTATTGGGAACGTTCAGTAACACCGCTCTCATTACCCGCGGACTCACAATACCACACGATCTCATACACTCTGCTTTACACTCCGATTGGAAGGAAATTAACCGTAGAACTACTTTATTGTTCTCTGCCGTAGGTTAATAAAGAATATATTACAATATAAATTACCCACAGGTTACTAGATTGCAGCTCCCTAAATCAATTTTGTCTTCCCCTTCACGACGTGCACGATTCGAGATAATTGTGAAATTTTACATCATGTACAAGAAATATTAGTATCCTCGCCTTGCCGCTAGATGGCGTTGGAATCAAAATAGAACGCGCTATCGAAGTGTTCACTAAACTATTATTTAAGATTATAAAAATAAATTACGTTGTATATTTATCCACCCAATCATGACGTACGCCAGCGCATTCGCTCAGGCAAATCCCGCGCTTATACACCGCCTGCAGGCTCTCCAAAATAGATTCATGCGCAACGCGACGGGTGCCCCGTGGTACCTGCGCAACGCTAGCCTCTACGTAGATTTACGGCTCCCCACAATAGCCCAATTCGTGAAACAGGCATCGAGGAAATATTTCGACTCTGCTCCTCACCACCCGAACCCCCTCAGGGAACAACCCCATCGCGTAAATAGGACCTGTCGGCCAAGGGAAGTCCTCTACGACCCTGACACCCTGACGACCCTATACTCTCGCCACTTTGAAGGCCAACCAGATCGCTAGTCAGTCCCGTCCCTCACGCACCAACCGTCCTCGCCGGCGAGGTCGTAGAGTCATTTCAGCACGTACACTGGTAGATTCTCTCCTTCAGCACGCCCTTCTGGCGGAAGTCTCCAGTAGCGCCCTGAGTCCAGGTCCGTGCCCACTTGGGCGCCCTCAGGCCCGCTACTCAGCTCTAAGTTTATTTTAGGGGTTATGAGCCCTCAGCTCGCCCTTAAATCCGGTGGCGCAGTCAAGGCCATCAGCGGCCAACTGCAAAATATCCTTAAAAAAAATTGTATCGAATCATAGGGCCTATAGCATATTCAACTTCCCATTAAGCATTGATCATTAAGTTACAAATCGTCTTGGAATTTATGTTATACAAGTATAGAGTCGACCCTTGGTTAAAGTAAAGTCGAGCGGTTTCCCGCGTTGCCTTGCGTTACTTGCGCGCAGTCATGCGTTGTAGTTGAAAATAGAACGCGACGCGACTTCGCGCCTGTGTAAGTTGAGCCTATGAGTACCACTCCGATACTTCCACCCGCTGGGATACTTGGATGAAAGCTCATAGAATCGTCTATGAGGTGAGGGATAATGAGCTGACATCGAGGATAACCGCAATTACGTCGATCTACGTCGATACAAGCCGCTATACATATGGAGATTCAGGCGTCTTGCTTCACCCTCCCTCGCTTCGTAAGCCTATTACAATTTTAATTAAAATCTCTTTTGTATGAGAATCTGTGTTGTGCATTGCACATTTGGAGTTCTATAGCATCTGTTTATTTCTTCCCCACAGTTCATTTCCTATCATAATCAGGATTTTATTAACCATTACTGGAGATATTGCGGTCGGCTCGAGAGTTTCTCTCGTAAGTTACAAAAGGTAAATGGTAAAAGGCCATAGTCTTAGCTTTTTGCTGGCGTATTATAAATAAAGCAGGACTTCTAACGACTAACATATTTTTTATTTTCCTGTGCTAGCGGAAAATTAAAACACTAAAAATACCTGAAGCTCTACTCCCGTTAATTAATTAATGAATCAGCTGGGACATCCATGAACTAACAGTTAGTTACTTTACCCAACGTACACAGGGGACCCAATTTCATCAATTTAATCTAACTCTCGGTCTAGTATTTAAGTTTTAATATATAACGTTATTCCTTTGGAATACATTACTCGAGAAACTCAACATCTTTGGCGATAGCTTTTCCGTCGAGTTGGAAGACTTTATTCATTTCATTTTTTATAATATCAAGTCACAGGGCGAACAAGTCGTGCGCCTGATGTAAGTTACGCGCCTGTGCATAACAGTTGCAGTGCCACTCCCGAGCTTTAAATCGCAAAGATGGGCACTGCCACTGCTCCTGTCACACCGATACATAAGTTAACAAGCCCCATTTGCCTGTAATTTCGCCAGCACTCTTACCCTTCAAAACCGGAACACAGTAATGGTGACAATACTGCTTGACGGCAGAAATAGGTAAGGTGGCAGTACCTCACTGGGGGCCTACCATAACCTTTCCAAAAACAATCTTATTTCAATGTCAAGCTTAAAGTAAGCTGTTCTTGCGGAGCACATTTTTTTCATTGAAAAACCGCATCATTTTAAGTGATTTGTTTGCATGTGAATATTCCCTGGCGACGTACACCACCAGCGAATACGGCCCTCATGAGGAGTTCAAGGTACGGCACAGTTTTTCTTTCTATTTTTTATTCTTTATTTTCTCGATGCTATAGCCGTAAATACGACTTTCCTTACCTTCTTCTAGAACCGCGCCTTACAGTCCACACCACCATCAAATTTAATAGGTTGCAAAACCTCCCAGCTGCTCCAAAGCTCCATACTTGACATTGTGTTTTTTGGTTTGGTCGAGTATTACGTATTTGACAGTAATTGTTTCGGACGGCAGGCGGACGGAGATAGCGGGTAGACCCCCAGGTAGGAGTGATTGTCTAGCACATTATTTTAATAAGAAAAAATACGATTAAAAACAATAGTTATTTTTTAGTATATTCGCGAGTGCTTGTATTGAAATTTGACTAAGCGAAGGAATCATAGTCTCAACTCACACTAGCGCAGAGTCGCAGCGTCACGACGCGTCGTTTGTCGCATATAATATATTCATATTATATGCGACTCTATGTTCCCATTATTAAGGTACAAATTTGTGTTATGCAAATATCGAAACGGGCGTACTTGAAAAACAGAACGCGACGCGACGCTTCGACTTTGCGCCAGTGTGAGTTGAGCCATAGGGTCGTATTCCAGAACTCTCCAACCCTCATATCAGAACTTGAGTATGATTTCAAGCACTGGAAATACGACTCTAATGGCAAGGACTTGAGTATGATTTCTAGTGCTTTAAATCATACTCAGGTCCTGACTTGAGTATAGAGTAGAGTTCTGGAAGATTAAAAATAAAATTAAGACCCTAAGATTGAACCACAAGCGAAGCGAATGGTTCAAAAATAGAATCCTGAGCATAGCGAGGGTTTCAAGATACGCGACGCAAAAGTACTTTGCTGCCGAGCGAAACACACAACTTTTTACGTCACTATAGCGAGGAAAATGGTAGATAAAAGAAAAACAGTTGAACCGTAACAAATCAGTTTAGTTTTTCATGAGTTCTTCGACGAATTCAAATAATTTAATAAACAAAATTAGTTATCGTCATTGACTTACAAATAAATGGACGACGGGTCTAATACAAAAACCACGAAAAAATGTCCCAAGTCAACCTATTCGAAATTTAAATTGTAATGTCATCGCAGTATCGCGCTGTCAGTAGAACAAATGAAGACTAAAGCGGAGTGTCGCGCTCTGTATACGATTTTAGCGCCTTACAAGTGCGGACACTTTTTAGCGCGGACCCGACGTCCATATAATTGTAAGTCAATGGTTATCGTTGTCAATTTATGTCAACAATAAGAAAAATAAAATATACTATATGATTTAATTGCATAAATAATGTACGACAAATCGCATAATTGAACGTGTCATTATGTTTTTTTATCAAAAGAAAAAGTTAGATGCAGCACAGTCCATCAGTCAAGTTCGCATTTCAAAAACCTTTTACACGCTAGCGTGCAAAAAACGCTTTTACGCGCAGATTTCTAATGAAAAAGAAAGCCTTTCTGAGCTAGTGACGTGGTAAATATTTTAATAAACAATTGTTTGAGACATTTTAAAGTCTTAGCGATTGCTCTGAGTGGTACTGCAACTGTTCTGGATAACCGTGTCGCTTACTACCAGGCACACGGCTTGTTCGTCTCCTCACTTAGTGTCATATAAAATATACAACAAGCTTCATCACGAGTTTCTTGCTCGTTCTTCTTGGCCATTTAAAAAAACTTCAACCGTGCTACACAATGAAATGTTTGCGTAAAAACCGTATACCAAACCTGGACTCGTATATCTTTTATTAACCATTTGTTGTTTCTAGTTGGCACTGGCAGGCATAAAATCGAAGCTGCATATTTGTTATTTGATATCGCGTCCTTCCGGTGCCGAAACAGCGTTCCTGTGACACTTTTATCATGCATATGATTTGGTATGGATTGGTTTGCAGGGTTTTCAACTGCTTTTATTAATTCCCCAGCACTTTGGGGAATTAACAACAACACGTTGGGGAAGACAGAATAAAATCAGAAAAATATGTCAAGAAAAGTTTTTAATATTTTTTTCTATCTAGATATTTGTCTATTATCCTTAGTTTAACATTAGCTCACACACATACAAGGTTATTTGAAATGTTCTAGCCTCTTCTCAGGACTATATTGCTAACATCAGAAACAACTACTTAAGTTCCATGACTTTTTCATAACGTAATATATTTCAACAATACTACACTTATAAGTTTTTGTTATTCTATCTGACACTTTTTGGATCTGGTGGTAGGTTCAAATGTACAAGAGTCCGACCCCATGACCCCCTTTCCTCTCTCCAGCGTTATGTCGGAACAGGTATTTATTCTATTTATTTAGACATTTATTTCTAGCCACATGGCCCATATAATATATACCTTAAGGACTAACACATATACCATATAATATAACAATAAAATAAACTAAAATTATTAAAAGCCATGGGACAAAAGTTTTTATTTATGATGTTACTAATATAAAGTACAATATAAAATATAATATAATGTAATGTAATGCAATGCAACGCAACGCGACGCAACGCGACGCGACGCGACTGTAATGTAATTGTTCCGGAGGCCGTACGCGCCTGGACGGTCAGAGCTAGAATAGAGAGGAAAATTAATAATTCAGTATGCTGGGAGATACGGTCGGCGCTCAGCTGGCAGGAAAGACCGCGGTGACCCAGAGCACTTACGTCTTTGCCGTAAGGACACCGATGAGGGGAGCAATCTGGGACACCAAGGCGGAGGCCTGCAGCTATGCGAATGATTTCGGCGCTCAGGAAGGTACCGGTACTGGCAGAGGGGAAAGCGTGTAGCCAGTGGCCAGATTCCCTCCTGGACGCCACTTCCAGACGCGCTCGGTCCATTGGGATACAATGATTCATTAAGTAATTTAAAGTCTTTTTGCACAGAATACTGTACCAGCTAATTTGAATTTTGGGGTCGGACGGAGAATTTTCATTGGGGCAAGCCTGATTCCAGGCGTTTCTGGACTCAATTAAGCATGTCACCTCGCAGTTTGTTGGCGGAAGCCTTAGGATACTGCCTACGAGGTTGACCAGGCTGTATTGAGGACAAAAAGGCCCGAAGGGCTATGGCTGATATACTCCTGACGCCTAGACCACCATGTCTGATGGGGAGGGTAGCTTGGATCCAGGCATTGTGGGTGAGATGGACGTTGAGAATGATTGAAGAAGAGTTTTAGGTCAGAATCTATTGACATCAGCTGATTATGGAATATCCAAGCTGGACAGCAGCAAAGTACGTATGTAAATTTAGGAACGAAAAGGCAATATTTTAAAATAAAGATGGCGTAGTGGGTGTTTAGGCTCAGGAGCCTATCTGTACATGAGTTGAACTTTGAGATTGAATTTTGGAAAAAGGCTGGAATTGGAATTTACCATCGTCGGTCACATCGTCGCTTAACATCAGGTGAGATTGTGGCCAAGCGTGTGTCTATTATATATTATATATATATATATAAATTGAGTCATCGAATATAGTTGCACCTAGGAGGCTAAGCTAAGGCTAAGGCTATGTGGCTAAGTGGATTCGTCGGTGAGACGAATGTTGGGGGCAAGAGTATTAAAATTTGGGCAGGGATACAATATCCCTGTTGGGATAAGATTGAGGGATGTAAAGTTCGCATTTATCAAAATTTAATTGGAGGCCAATGGTATTAAAACTGTTGATGATTTGGTTAAGGTCCCAAAAAAAGTACGATGTTTGCAGGGTGTCCTAAGGTTCCATTATCTAGGTACCAGACGTTAAGATTTGAATGCAGATTTTGGATGATGGGATGGATGGCGAGACTGAAGATGGCAGGCCCCAGAGTATCTGTTGACAGCCCACGGCAGATGATAGTTCATTGGCCGTGTAAGCTAGTTAAAGCTGGTAAAATAAATATTTAATTACAATACTTCAACAAGGTTATGACAGAATAACAGAGGCCGTGGGTTCCCCGCAACCGCTGAGTCATAAACCATTTTGTCTTGTTAATTAACACTGTCTGTGATTTTATTATAAAATGTATTACTGTTGTTCAAGACAAATAAATGAGTTTATTATTATTATTATTATAAACATCACATCAGCCCCATAATAGTATAGTACAATAGACCCAGTGTTTACCCAAACACAGAGTCGTTCGACGGCCCGGCCGTAGCTCGCTGCCGAAGTCGACCGACTCGACTGGGTGTAAACGCTGTCAGACGACTCGGTCGCCTTTGGCAAGCTACAATCGACCAAACCAGCTTCAACGTGTTGTGCTCTCGTGATGCGCGTGTCTGAGACCGAAGAATACCTATCCAAACCTAACCTACCCGATCAGTTTGTTGAATATTTCGAATGATTTATTGTGTCTCTGTAATTAATCTGGTGTGGTACGGCGGCGAGTCCATCCCCACTCTGTGGAACCGAGTCGGTCTCTAACTTTACGGTTTCAGAGGAGCGATTTCTCCCACGTACTATTTACGAGTAGGTTGTGGAATGAACTCCCTGTCGGGGTATTCCCGCAGGAATACAGCATGGAGTCCTTCAAAAGGGGTTTGAGAAGGACCTAAAGAGTTGGCAACGCGCTCATGACGCCCATGGTGTTGCAGGCGTTCATAGACGACGGTGACCGCTTTGCATAAGGCGGGCCGCATGCTTGTTTGCTGCCTACATAATATATATAATTAATTTCTTTGTGAAAGATTTCGTCCAAGGAACCTTAGAAAATCAATTTCTGCCGCCAAGCGGTAATGTGAGCAATACTATGTTCCGGTTTTGAGGAGTGCTGGTGAAATTACAGACGTAGGACTTGTCAACTTACGTCTCGGAGTGACGGGCGCAGTGGCAATGCACTACAGATCTTTGCGGTTTAAAGCGCTGTATGGCAATGGAACTGCTACCAGGCGCACGACTAGCTCGTCCCGTCGTCACACAGTAAATATCATAAAGAAGAAAAAAACGACTCGGTGTTAACAGCGAGTCGACTATCGAATGTCGGTTACTGAAGGCGACAGTCGACCCTTTGTAAACCCGCCCTCAGAATACAACTACAATTTTCGAAAACTGGAAACCCTAACCTCGTGTAGGATAATAAAAAAATCCTGGCACTGGAGCTGCATTGCATCAAAACCGGCAATTCATTCTTCATTTAAAGTTTACAGAGTGACATGGCATTCGTGTCGAGAGATAACTTCGCAGGGAAGTAGGAAGATACATTGGATGTATGCCAAATGGAACAACGCTATGTAGGCAATTTTGCAAGAATTTATTGGTTTTGTGTAGTTTTAATGTTGAATGCATTGAATGAGATAATTCGATGTAATATTTCTATACTGCCTCTGTGCCCGAACGGTTATTATACCGGACTGCCACGCAGAGGTCCCAGGTTCGGTTCGAGGAGAAATATTTGTATGGCCTTCATTTATTTATCTCGTGAGTTTGGGCGTAATATATGGTAATTTGTAATTTGGGTGTAATAGTAGTTCCAATCTAAAATCGCGTGTATTTTTTTTTAAACAAACCAACGTTCCTATCTCTTTACATCTCTCATGGCAACGGTGGCTCCATGATTCAGTCAGCCTCGAATGAAATAAATATACACAATTCTAGATCGGAACAAATAGTTCCATTTCCAAATTCAAATACGCTGTGTGATAGATGCGATCAAATCACATAGGTGATATATGCAAACAACGGAATATGTATAGGCGTTGTCGGTGAGACTTTTTCCTAGTGTGTTTAAAAAGAATGAAAGAGACAAAAATTTTAAAAATCCTTTGGGGTCGTACCTCGAATGTCTTATAACGTTCACAGTCCATGAATCCACTTGGAGTCGCAAATTGGATTAAACCATAAGTTAACGCGCTCAGTAGTAAGTAGTTGCCACTTCGACTAGTAAATCAAAACCCAGATTTTTTTTAAACTTGTGAATTCGTTAGTCTGTTATAGTAGGTGTTATTACTGAAAAATAACAAAAGAATTTGAATATATTACAAGGCTACTTCGCACAAATTTCGACGGACTTACTGTCCACCTGTACGGAGTGCATTTCGGCCTCATAACACGTTCATACTCCTTTGTGTAAACAAAGAGGTTATGAACGTGTTAAATGCGGCCCCAGCATTACAATAGTTTTTTACAATATATAAGTGCGTGTTTCACCTTCGTCTCACCTGATTCTAAGTAACGTGCTATGTATCGACCCGAGATATAGGGTATTCCGGAGAGACTACGAGCTCGCCGGCAAAACCAGGGTACTGTAGTCTAGGCTCTACTCTATGAGTGGAACTACTGGCTGAGTGAATATAGTTTGATGTTTAGAATGTGTTTTGAAATATGAGATTAGAAAGAATAGAACATCTTGATAGTTCAAGATGTAACCTCAATAAGTGAAAACATGTAAAAAAGTACATTAAATATCGAGTTTTGAAGATTATCCCAGTTTATATTTATAAAGTACCTCTCGCTACGCAACACAAGGTACGTCCAAGCTTACAGTACCTACAGCGGGCGTCCGAGCCAAGTCCTCCGCCAGTAATACGCCCCACGTGCGTCTCTGGTGGTTCCGGACTTTATGGTGAGCTGCAGAAACGAACATGTTCATCTGCCCCGGTGGTGTGTGACAGGGGCGACTGTCTCCAGGTCAGTCTTTCACCAGGAAGTATACTTATACAGTGTTTTTTTTATAATATCCAATGACGGGATGAACGAGTCGTGCGCCTGATGGTAAGCTACACGCCTGTCCATAACAGTTGCAGTGCCACTCAGAGCTTTAAATCGCAAAGATCAGATCAAAAGACTTCATCGCCTGTCACTTGGTATCATAAAAAATATTACTATTTCATTTAAAGCGTTATTCAGATACAATGACCAATTTGATTGGTCCCGTTACTAAATACATCTCACTGTATGTAAAGATCAAGTAAGATGGTGCAAAGAAACAACCACACTATTTTACCCAACAAATCTCATCTGCGGAGCAGGATTAACATCCGTCATCTCTCCCATAAACCTTACATTAAGTCTGTCTGCGCCCTCACAAACCCGTAAACGAGAGGAAAGGATATATATAAATGCAATGTACACGCTGTTCATCATGAGTCTATTGCGAACAGTTACTTCTCAATAGAGAGGGCGACCGTTCGAATTCCAGTAGTGGCATGTACAGTCAATACTCTAAGATACCAGACCCTCTAACCGTAGTAATTATAATAAAAGAACTATTGTAACTGCATACAAACGTAGCAGCGCGGCATGTTTGTGTGCACGCCCGCCGTGCTCCGTGTACCAACGTACACATTCGCATAATCTCGCGATGCACTCGAGTTACTGGTCGTCCCAAACGCGCCTTTCAGTATTATGCGAATGTATGCGTTCGTAGACTGCAATCGCGCACACATACCAGCCTCACTGTTACTTTGTACGGGGTGCCATTTTTCTCTTATTTTACTATGACATAATCATCTGTTCAGAGTAGATCAGTTTTAACAGACTTAACCTTTGTTAACCAGTGAACCGTAAAATTCATTTTGGTATTTTTGCATAACCTGCAAAAAGTTAGCATTAGTGAATGAACTTTTAAGAAACTTTTTAAATCAATTTGATCTAAATTTTTCTGAACAGCGACTAACTCTGATCTTCCCAGCCAAAAGTTGGTCAGCGACGTTTTTATGCCATTTATCGATTGCTATTTCTTTTGTTAATCGTCGCTTTGTTAATGGGTATTGTACTATTATGGACAATTTACAGATTTGCATTATCTTTTAGAGCTTTTAAAAGTTTTTGTTGTTGACTGTATCACAATACATACCAAAAATAACCTTCTAAGTATCAGGGTATCGGGTGGGATTAAAATATAATTATTTCTTTTTGATCT